TATAAATTTATGGAGATATTGCCCCTTTAGGTGAATAGTGACATGAAAAACAAAATGTCACTGCTTTACAAATAAAAATTCTCATTGAAAAAACTAATTATATATATAGGTATGCAAGTTCATTTAAACTAAATTTGGTCAATCATATATCAATAATATTTGGTTGAAAAGACCAGATTTTTTCATGCAACTGTTTCTGAGATATTGCCATTTTGGTGAAAGCTCTTGGATTGAATCACATATTCGCCATTTTGCTTGTCCACTTTGGGGGTAGAAACCAGGGCGCTTACATACTGGGCGGTGCAACGCGCTGATAATCGCGCTGATCGACGTGTGATGCGGAAGAGGACTGGCACGAGAGTGCTTATTTGCAAATTCAAATAAAATAGCTAATTTTGTTTATCCGTATTGCATCGCTTTTTTTACTGAAACGTTTCGTTGTGAGACACGGTTTTTTTAAAAAATAGATAAAATGACTCTTATTTACCATCGAAATGTATCTTTAAATCAAGAATATGTTGAAATGTGCACAATATTAGGGAAAACGGCGTGATGTTTTGATGACTTCTATTGACTGTTTTTTCACTGTGGGCGCTTGGTGTGTTATCGTGAAGACTACGGCATAAATTTTCGATAAGTTAAAAGTCACCTATTATATGTTTGTATTGTAAAATTCTGGAAAAAATCGGAGTGGATAATTTGGGGATATTGTATGACTGAAGTTGACCCTTTTAAGGCACAAAATCCAGTAGATTATTGTATAAAATTTTGTATTTTAAAGTACGCCAATATTTTTAAATATGCTGTCTCGTTCTTCCCCGTATATGCTTTGTAATTTGTCCAAAATTCTATAGATTGTAGAAAGAAATAGATGCAATTTTTTGGACCCTATTGCTACTAAGACCTGTTTAGCGAAGTACGGCATATTGAAGATATAAACGAGCGCTTGGTGTGTTAAATGCTTTTATACACCTTTGTAGAATTGTATAGGGGGTATACGTTTCATAATTTGTCAAAACAAAGCGATTCGTAGTGGATAATTTTATTGATTTTGACCTTTCAAGATAGCCTAGCCATAAAAATTCTTTCTTTAAAATCGAACATTGAGCTAAGGATGATTGTATATCACTATGGAAATATAGATAATGGCGTTTGATGTGAAATGTCGTAAGCAGGGGCAAGCGCGCTTTGCTAAACTAGTTTGCGGGAAACGTTTGTCTTTTGTTGTTTTTGTATTATTATTTTTTGCTGCAAATGTGCGATGTAAACTGTAAAAGACCCGCGTCGGGCTTCTCCCCATCGTGTTGTAAACGTGTTAAACCGAGTTTATAGAAAAAGAAAGTTATAAAACATGTTCAGCTGGCGAGAGTTCCTGTTCATCGTCTCCGTCGTATGTGGGGCCTCAAAATGAAAGACTTCAACCTGTTATTGCAAACATTGGCTGCATACAATTTCCACCTTCTACGTCACTGGAATACAGCAGTGGATTACCTCTTCAGCCGGAAGAACTACTTCTATATAGTTTAATTACAGTTTCATCACCTGGCAGGAATATAAACTCTGTCAAGGGATATTCACCAGAAAAGTTTGCAGGAATCTCAAATGCTATCTTGGATGTTTACGATATTAACTTTGACTGTGTGAAACTTCGAAACTATTTCTACAGGTCTATAAACAATACAAGAAAAGGCTTAGGTAAATTTAATGGGGTTCTTCGATGGAAATACTATGCTCTGGATGTGAACAGAATAGTTACCAATTATCAGAACATACTGGTAAATCTACTGGTTAATAACAATGCAGTCGGTGCTCAAGATTACAAGGATTTACGTGATGGTCTTAATTCAGCTAGTGTGTCTGCTTCACAGGAATTGGAAAAGTCGAAAAGCCTTGCCTACAAAGTCAGTAAAAGCAATTACATCTTGGCAAAATTTCCTAAATGGAAAGTTGTGGCAAATATTGATGAATGTGAGGTACATTTGCATTACTTTGGTTCCAATCTTACTAGTATTACTGAAGAATATAAAGTTACAATATTTGCAGATGGTACATACAAATTTATTTTTGGAGGGAAACCCAGAGAAACAAATTTGAACTACAAGGACAATAGCCCTATCCATAATCTCAATGACCTGTATTCATTTATGGAACACTTGGAGCGATATTATCTTTGTCCTGGTGTACAGTTTGATGATTACAAAGATCAATCACATGATATAAGCGGCAGAGACACACCTGTCTTTAAAACTGTTGCTGGAGAACCAGCTGCATACGTTGAGCCACTACAATCGAATTTAAATTTAAAAGTTATAAGATCAACGAAATGCTCACTCATGCTTGAAGCTGATGTAAGATGCGAAGCGTGCACTCAGGTAAATCATTATATGCGAACTATTAAGTCCAGGAAGAAAACCCCCAATGAAAGCACATCAAAATTTGTTAGATTTGATTACATGAAAAAGGATACCCTTGTAGAAAACAGTCGACAAATGGCAGAAAGAATACATTTATTAGAGACGAGAGTAGAACGACTTGAGGAACGCCAGGAGACAATGAGTTCTGTTGGCAAAGCTACTGATTCGGATTTTAGGACACTATTTCAGCAATTATACAGTGGCTTGAATAAAGTAAAGGAAAAGCATGACAATAAAACTTGTTACTGGCAAGCTTGTGGCAATGAAAGTGAATTTGAATCGAAGGATTTATTAATGAAACATATAAGGACATGCCATATGACAACTATGGAGGATGTAGCACCAATTTGTAGGGAGTATACCTGTCGATGGCTTTCTTGTATGAAGAGCTTTAGAAAAAAACACTTGCTAGAGAATCACATCATTGAACATATTGGTAGTGAGTCTGACCTTTTCCTTGTCACGCTTCTAAAAGATCAGGCTAAAGCATTGAACACACCTTCTAAACAAATGAGATGGCATCCTTCTGTATTGAAATGGTGTCTCAGAGTGTATTCTCGCTCGCATTCATTGTATAGTGATTTGAGGGATTCAGGATTCTTAAAGCTCCCAAGTGGAAGAACTCTATCAGATTATAAAAACTTCTGTTCCTCAAAGTCTGGTTGGCAGATATCTGTTCTCGGAGCCATGCGAGATACATTTAATGATCAAGGATATGAGAATGTTGGCAAATTTGGTGGGCTATTTTTTGATGAGGTGAAAATTAAAGAAGGTTTACTGTTTGATCCCTCATCTTGGGAATTGATTGGATTCGTAGATTTAGATGATAATATTGACACTGTCAAGTCCAGTAGCTCGGTGCAGGAAACGTTAGCAACGCATGCCCTTCAGTTTTATTTTAAAAGTCTATTTAGTTCCTTCAGTTACCCAGTTATTTCCTAACGAGGAGTATTTCAGCATCTACACTAAATAGAGTTTTTTGGCAAGGAGTTAGTCTACTACATGCTCATGGGTTTACAGTTCTTCTGACAGGTTGTGATGGAGCAGCAGAAAACCGGGCATTCATGGTGATGAATGGCTGCAGCGAAGATAACAGCAAAACCATTAATCCTTTTTCTAAACAGCCTCTCGTGTTTATGTCTGATCCACCCCATTTGCTTAAAAAACTTCGCAATAACATTTACAACAGTGGTTATAAAGAAGAGTCTGCCCGATATTCAAGATGTATGATTCTGGATTCTACTCCCATTCTTTGGAATCATATTTACTCAGTGTATCAAAGAGACAAGCAGCGGCATTTATTTTCGACTGATATTAGGAGCTCCCATGTTCATCTAGACAGCTTAAGTAAAATGCGAGTGAAACTTGTTGTACAAGTTTTGAATTCCAAAGTTAGAAAAGATATGGAGAACTATGAGCCAACTGCAACTTTGTCAACTCAGAAATACATATGTTATTGTGAGAAATTATGGGATGTCTTCAATGATACTAAGCCACTATTTTCTGTTTCCGATCCAAGATTATTAGAACTTAATAATGTCTTGCTGTTTTTTCGTAATTGGAGAGATCAACTGTCTTCTCAATCTATGGAGAAGTCTGAAAGAGCTTCTTGTTTCATAAGCTGGCAAACAATGTTTGACTTGCAGGTAAACAACCCCCCACTAACAGTTATTTCGAATTATTTTTGCAGGTATCGGTATAAAATCTCGTAGGTATAAAATGTTTGTGGTGTTACTCTGAGTGTGTATCCACACTGGTCAGGCAAACTTTTCAGCTTGCCCGGTATGGATACACACTCATATAGTAACACTACAAACATTATATTCACCTGAGTACATAACAAAAAACAAACAGAAAAAGTATATTTCTTTATATTGATTCCTAAAGTACTTCCACTTTTCCTTACATATTTCCTTCAAACAGCAGATTATGGTTAATTAGGTTTATTCTGTAGAGGGTAACTGTTACTAAAAAGGGTCTTCAGTCATACAGTATACTAGTCTTAGTGTTATTGTGTGTATGTTAAGCATTGCATTGTTATTTCTTCTAGATTTCCGTCAATGGACTTCGAGAATTGGTAGCGTATATTGATAGCCTCACGTTTAATGCAGTCTATGGAAGTCATTACTACATCATACCCAAGAGATTGAGTCAGGATATTGTGGAATCATTTTTCTCGTTGCAAAGGCAATCTTGTGGTGGTTCAAGCAATATGACTGCCTATGCATACGGGTACAATGTAAACAGTGCCATATCATATCAAGCAGCCAAATCTATTGCCAAAAAGCAAACAAATGTATTTCAGGCTGATGCAGGTGAATTATGTAAGGTAGATCAGGCAAATAACCTTCCGAGAAGAGTTAATGTTGACAGCATTTTTTCTCAAAACATGTGGGCTATTCAAATTTGAATAAATCATATTGTGCAGTACATGTATAACCTTGGTAGTACTACTCTTTACTTGCAGTATAAGATTTAAAGCTCAATTTAAAGATGTCATAAAGTCCGTGATGTAAACAAACGCTTTCAATGTTTACAATTCGAACTGCAATATTTGTACAATATGATATACTGACCAAATATCTAAAACTATTCTGGTTTGCTAAACTCATAATGAATATAAACTATAGTTTCAAGTGAAAAAAGTTCGAAAGATGCAAAATTTGGGCAATGTTTATATCTGTAGGTTCCTCTTTGTTATGAGGAAAACCAATGTACAGAACAGACTTTACAGCATCTTCAAAGAGTTTGAATGAAAAAATTAAACACACCAGCTAAAGTGCAAGACTCAATTTGAACTATGTCTGATTAACCCACTGAGTGGCAGCACACCCCCCCCCCCCGGCAAATAAAATTGTCTGGCATTCGATAATAAAGTGGGACTCAATGGGTTAACCCTTTAAGTGGCAATGTGCCACATTGTGCCCTGATGTTCCCTACTAACTTTATTATGTTACTCTGTCCAATGCCAGACGATTTTACAAGGGGAAAGCGTTGGCGCTTAATGGGTTAATGAAACTTTAATTAATGTAAGTATATTGCATTGTTAATTAAATCAAATCCAAGCATATCATCTGAAGGCAGCTAGTGTTTATATGGTGAAGCTAAAAAAATAGTCAGCCAACATACTCTATTAGGGACTGGTCATAATTTATTGGGGGGGGGGAGGGGAGGTGTAATTCAAAATATTAAGGAATGATATTTTGTGACCCTGCTTTGCCATAACCCGGAAAAATAATGCCCCCTCTCTCTCTCTCTTGCTCCTGTCAGTAAAAATGTAACTACCTACTACTAAACTCTGCATTCAATAAATTTTCTAATTGCACTTTAAATTTTCTAATTTTCTAGTTGCACTTTAAATCAAATACTAAAATTTATAAACCAAGACATAGTCATACAATTTTTTTCAATGCAACTCAAACAAAATGTGAGAAGGCATGTATAAAACAATAAATTCAACTAAAACAGCAGACCCCCTTCCCGCCTTCATAAACTGTCTAATATTTTATGACCCCCCCCCCCCTTTTCCTGGCTAAAAAATATGTGACCGCCCCCCCAACTGTTTCCACCTCCCCACCCTGCTAAATTATGACCAGTCCCTTAATCTAGAATTAATGAACCAATGATTGTTTTTTTGTGCTACTATTTGGAGGCTGAGGCCTGTTTCATACGTCGAATTTAATTCAGACGAATTTAATTCGTTATTAAATTCGTCAATTGGTCGACACTAAAATGGTTTCGTTTCAAACGACGAATTTAATTCAGACGAATTCATTTCATGTTTAGCGATCATGGATTACCCAGAAGTAAAAAACCACGAGACCAGAAAGAGAGAAACAGACTTTAACATAATTTATGCATTTAATTCGACACGACGATAACACGTCGTATGAAACGAAGACGCGCTACAGACGTTGTATCCGTCTGACCATGACGGATACAACGTCTTGGACGAATTTAATTCATCAGACGGATTTAATTCGTTTCATACGACGCACTAACGTCGCATTTAATTGGTTCAATTAAATTCGTCTGAATTAAATTCGACGATAGTGCGACGTATGAAACGGGCCTGAGTTATGCTTTGATTTGACTTGTACAGATTCATAATAAAACTACCTGTATATTTTAATATATTCAAATGTTCAAAATAATTGTATAGTTTTTGGATTATTTAATTAATAATAAATTCAAATTTTGAAATGATCATTTCTGTTTTCTGAATTGTTTTAGTTCCCAATAAGGTCTGTATATACTATTGTCAATTGTGATCTCTTGTTGATTCTCAATTGACATCTGTGGAATCTTTCTGCAGACACTTACAGTATAATTATTCATTAATTTAACCAAAAGAAGAGATTATCAAGTGAGGTGTTGTAAAATTATGTTCTGGTTCAAGTTTCTTTTGGTAAAATTTATATAGATTATTTTTCTATGGCCTGTAGCAATGACTCAATCTGCTTACTTTTTCTCTTACCCAAAAATGTTGGCTTCCCTAATGATTTTAATATTTTAGCCAGCTCTTTGCCCTGCAGTTCTGCTAACATTGCTTCTCGATTTGAATAAGGATAGGTAGACAGTGACTGCAAGAAACTTCTGATGTTGTCAGATGACATACTTCCAGACCTCAATTGAATAATTTCTTTGCATTTTGGCTTACCAGATGATGATGTCGTATGCCGCAGTTGTTGACGTATTGCCATGCTATTTTTATTGGGTTTAAGCCCTCATTTTTTCGCGAATCATTTGCTGTTTTGATTTTAGGAAAAAAGTTACAATCCGTTGGAGGACAACAACGGATGTTGCATTTGATCGCAGAGATGTTAGATCTTTCCATTTTTCTCTTAGCACCTTATTTGCAGCCAGTTTTTCTAAGCCATTAATTAAAATTTTTCCTTTCTGAAGTGCGATATTGGGGGTTATAATACTCTCTATAAGGTTATGTAAAAACAGAAAAAGTGGAACAATATGTTCGTAAACAATAAATCTAAACTTCCCATCAGCTTGCTTAAAATCTTTCCCCAATGTAGAAATCAGTTCCAGTGCTTTATGTTTCTCTCCACAGACAACGCTTGGCCCACCCTCCGTCTCCATTACTTTCAAGCTGTCACTTTCACCCTTTGAAATCGTTTCCCTTGCCCGCTTGATCACCCAACCAGCATGATTTTTGATACTCGCAAACTCACTGTCATCACAATCTGTTACAGATTCTTCAGCACTTTTCTCATCGTTTTCAACTGTAATTACACGAATGTCATCGTACGGCGTACGAAGACCAAAAGTACTGAAGAACCTGTTGCAGTAATTGTTCTGAAGCTTCCATATATATATCAGTTTCAGTTATTTCATCACTGAATATCAGTTTCTCCCACGACTGTTTAATACAATAATGATAAAAACTGCAGGACCGTTTCTCACAGAATTCGTTTTCAAGACGTATTGCTTTCTTTTGCGGATGTTTTTCGTCTTCAGCCCGTACAAAACAATCTTCAATCAGACGTAAAATATTTTGCAAAAACTCATCTTTAAGGTCACATTTGTTTTCGTCCACCAATGCATTGGAAACCAATTGCAAAATGGTCTTTTCATTTGACGGTGACTTGTATACATGGTGAAGTGTTTGCAAAAACGATTTTAAATTCTTTGCTGTAATGCTTGAACAAATACCAGAGATGTCAACATGAGAGTTAGATGTTTTAGCAAAAGAAACATTGCCTTTGTCAATATCATTTAAACAAAAATGAGTGTTTAATAAAGCTGAATCTTGTTGAGATGATGAACTCCCTGCCGCCGCCATATTTGTTTGTACCTAGCAACGGTTGTCAAGGAATAGACAAATGTTAATTTCTTGAGCCAACCATTCACCGTTAAACATGACGTATTCGTCACCAAGCCCTGCATCACACGTCGATCACTCTTCCTATTCCCGTTGCACCGCCCTATATATAAGCGCCCTGGTTCTAACATACATTCCAATTTCCTTAAGATGATACCTAGTGATCATAGTTGCGGACATTCCAACTACTCAAGGTGAAATTTAGGGAGCCTGCTAAAATGCTAAATGAATTGAAATCTAGTCCTTCTGTGAAATATAATAAGACGGGAGATCAGGAGATTGCATGAATTTTCTCCCAGGTGAGTCGCAGCGCTTAGAAGGTCTTACGCGATTGAATGATGACAATTTAGTGGTGGTCTTGGTGGCCTCCAATCAGAAGACCTCAATGGTATCATGTGACAACATCGTTCCTATATTTGATTGACAATGGAACACATCGCAGATTTATGGATGTTTTTTATCCTTTTATAATATTAAATTAATATGTGTTCCCTTTGCTCGTAGCTAAGACACTAAAGGAAGATTACAGTCTACTTTCATGTTATTGGCAAAATCATTAGCATATATGTACGGCGAGTATTATAAAACACATGATTTGAATATGAAATTCTATTAATGGCGTATTAATAATATGCGCTAGATGAATCATTCGTTTTCGTCTTTCATATTAAAGTGAATGCGAAACGCGTCATAGCAAACGCTTAATACTTTTAATCCTTCTTTTCTCCATCGTTTTTCCTGTAGAATATTTCATAATCCAAGACCGTTTATGTGCCCCAACTAAACGCTGTAATAAACAGACGCCCTATTTAAAACCGGCTTGTTATTTAATACGTTCACTTATAATATTGTCTATTAAGTGCGACTGTTCCAGACCTTGAGAAATCAAGTAAATGTTGTAAACTATACACAGCATAGGAAAGTTGTTTATATCCTGTTTGGTTTTATTTAAACATGATTACATGAATATATCCATATCTTGTTCAATGTTCAGTGTACTTTTGACAGCAATTTAAAGATGCGGTAAAGTCCGTTCTGCGCATATATTCTGCGCATCAAAACATTCCATCAGCGGGGGGAGCAACCTTTGGAATGTTGTTAATATTTCGCTCTTTCCGAACTTTCTTGAATTGAATCTCTAGTCTGTATTCATTTACAAGCATAACAAACCAGAAAAGTGTTAAAAATTCAGTATAATATATATCTAATCATATTTACCTCCGCCAGGAGGTTATGTAATCATCTGGGTTTGTATGTGTGTGTGTGTGTGTATGTGTGTGTGTGTGTGTGTGTGTGTGTTTGTCTGTGAGCACGATAACTCAAGAAATACCAAACATATCCGTACGAAATTTTGTGAGTGCACTTCCCATCGGCTAAGGAAGAACTGATTAAAATTTGGTTGAATTTGGTTAAAGATTGAATGAGAAATAACAAAAGCTTGTCTTGCTTTTCCCGGTCAATTAAATAAAACTTATACTGAATGCGTAATTAGGACGTGCATAATATATGCACCAGCCATTCAAATTCTAATAACAATAGATTACTTCAATATTTTGCGCGTAGGCGGAGGTATGCAGTCTCTCAGTGCCCTCTAGTTAGTAGTGTTTTAAGGTGTTAATGGTGGTCAGGATACATATACACAGTAATCACAGCTGTCTAGGTAGTCTAGGTAGTCTTGGTGGTCAAAGTGTTTTAATAACTGTTCACTGTTTTTAACAATACCTTTTATTACCTCCGCCAGGAGGTTATGTAATCATCTGGTTACCTCCGCCAGGAGGTTATGTAATCATCTGGGTTTGTATGTGTGTGTGTGTGTGTGTATGTGTGTGTGTATGTGTGTGTGTGTGTGTATGTGTGTGTGTGTGTATGTGTGTGTGTTTGTCTGTGAGCACGATAACTCAAGAAATACCAAACATATCCGTACGAAATTTTTTGAATACATTTCCCATCGGCTAAGGAAGAACTGATTAAAATTTGGTTGAATTTGGTTAAAAATTGAACGAGGAATGAACAAAATTTTGTCTTGCTTTTCCCGGTCAATTAACAAAAAATATTACTGAATGCGTAATTAGGACGTGTATAATTTATGCACTCAGTGCTAAGACAATAATGAGATGATAAACCTCATTAAGCTTCGGCCTTCATTATCTATTGTCTTAGTTGCATTTCACGCGACCGAAATTCAATATCTAAAACAAGGCTT